TTATAGTTTCGTAGGTAATCATCCAACTTCGAAACATATCCTTTAAATAGAGCTTAAAAGCAACATATGTTTGCCTAAGCAAATACTAAGGGTTTAACCCTCATCCTCCCTACACGCTGAATGTAAACTATCTAACTTGGCTTTGTAAAGCGAATTAGAACGTCACAACATAATACCAATACCTTCCTGAATGTGATACAAAATCATACGTTTCCTTCTGATAAGAACTCCATCAAATCCCCAATCTTCTGAAGAGTACTTCTTATATATCTCTTTTAGAGATGATAAGAAAGCTTAATTATTTGTAGATTGATCAACACCAATTCTACTAATAATATTCGCTATACTAGTAGCAATTCAGATCACCTCGCGGGATCATCCATCTTCAAGATTTAGTACCCTTTTTATTGGATGCACATAAATCTCCTCCATTAGGATCCTCTTCGGCTCCTACTCCTCGCTTGTCTCCTTTTGAGATCAATTGAAGTCGTATTGGCCCCGATATGCGGTGACCTATCACGTACACCTAAATCCTTCCTTGGCTTATACTTTTAAAGTAATGCTAAATGAACCTAAACTATCGACCCCTAACTTTGCCTTCTGGCAACGAAATCGATAACGTACTCCTTTACTCCTTTGGGTCTTTGTCGCTTTCGCCTTGAACCCATCCTTTTCTTAGTGCCAACCATTCTGTAACTACAGAATATAATTGACATCAGCTCCTCCTAACGAATCGTAAATAGAGTACAATGAATCCTAATACAGGCTCTAAGTTTTAAGAGACGCAACGCGGAAGTCACATAACGGAAGACACTTCTAAGGACACTTGAACCTGGAGTGCTCTGATACCAACTGTGATAGCCCCCGGATTTCCGAATGTGGGTTGGCCAGGCCCACACCCGAATACCCGAGGATATCAAAACAAATTGATAATAAACGAACACAAAGTATAAAAGAATAAAGAAGAATAAATAAAATATTGACAAGAAACTAAAATGATAATCTAATAATAAACCTCAGAATATATTTCCATTAATTAATAAACTCTTTTAATACAACTGATCCTCCAAAATACAACTCGGGAATCCATACTGTGTGGACCCCTAGAAAATCCAAACTAAAGAAATGACAGCAATAACTGTCTAAATCAGGAAACTGAATCATAAAAGAACTCCTATGTAGCATCAGAAGAATGAAGTAGACTGATCCCTGCTCAGCACGAATAACCTCTACTCCTGACGAACACCTGAAAAATAATGGTGGGTCAGGCCCGCAAACAAGTTCTACTCTACTACGGTCCAAGCAGAGATCCGATACACGTATACATCCTAGTCAATCCAACAGTAACTAATAGTCCGTATATATATATATATACACACACTAAAGGAACCTCACTAGACTATAGGGTTGTCTCAACCTGAATAGTAGGCAACATGCAAAACGCACATATAGTGGGCATGAATACCTAGACCTACCAGGGTACACAACGACACTATATCTAGCTACACATCCCTGATGATATACGCACCCTAACCACTGATCCTAAGACTCAAACTCATATCATGGCACCATACTTATATATATAAAATCTAGTAACCATCCTATCCGGTATAAATTAATCCTCCATAAGTCATTCAACTTGTTCAGCTGACCTGGCTTGAATATAAGTAGGATTTAACATTTTAGTTAATCCATTCCCTTATATAATAAATTAATCATCCATAAGTCATTCAACTTGTTCAGCTGACCTGACTTGAATATAAGTAGGACTTAACATTTTAGTTAATCCATTCCCTTATACAAAATAGGTAGGACTTAACTGATAAGTTAATCCGTCCCTAGAATGCCACCGTCCCATACCGGTGCATTAAATCACACAATCCAACAATTAATGTAACGATTAAGGAAATACATCAAACAATCCAGAAATAACTATGATAATATGATATCAAGTTATCACAAAATAGGAATGACTTATTATTTATTTAAGCTTCCTATATCATATGTCCTACATAAACTGAATCTTATATATATGATGATATTTTATTATACCGTCAAATAAGCATTCTCCATATCCAATTCATCCTACACATTTAATCTCAATTGCTAAAACATATTAAAAGATTAAATTCATTCGTTTGTTTAAAACATTCAAATAGCAAGCATCATTATGATTGAGTCTATTTAAATTTATTTAAACCCAAACCTAGTTTCTATTTAATGTTCAGGAATCCTAAACATGTTTTTACGTTCCATCGTTCCACATATATGAAAAATACATAATTTAAACATGTAAAAATTCACACCGGAAATCAAATCAAAATCATGCATTTATCAATTCATAACACAAGAACAGATATGAACCAAATTCATAAAACATATGTTCTAATCCAATTAAACATGCATAATTATTTAATTTTATTTGTTTAATAAATCTTGGAATTTCCTAGGCATGCACAGAAACACGAATCAAAGGGAAAGAGATAGAAGAAGAACTTGGCTTAAACTTTCGAATCGAAAGTTAAACTTCTTCTTCCTTGATCTTCTCTCTACAGGGTTTTCTCCTCCTTCCTTCCTTTTTCTCCTTCTCTCTCTAACTCTTTCTCTATAAAATATATTACGTGATATATTTTCACTCATTTTTCAACCTATAGTTATGTATTTATAGGCTAAATAATAACCCTATTCCTTTTCCCAATCCAAGTCAACTTAATAAAGAAAAATAAAAAATAAAAATATTAAAAAGGTAACTTAAAATATATTACGTATATAATCTATGTATATCCTTATTAATTAAATAAAATATATACATTAGATTATTTATTAATACTAAAGTTACCATAATATTAAAAGGTAACTTAAAACATGTTACGTATATAATCTATCTATATCCTCATTAAATAAATAAAATATATACATCAGATTATTTATTAATACTAAAGTTACTATCAGATAACTTAAAATATATGTTTTAAGTTACCTTTTTAATACTAAAGTTACTATAATATTAATAAATTACTTTCCTTTTTATATATATGTATATACATATATATCTATATATATACATATACAACTATCCATAGGTAATTATCCATACCCATCCAACCTCCTATCCAAGTAGTCCATGGGACACAATTAGTTAGCCCATTACCACTAACCATAACCATAAAATAAAATAAAATAAAACATTTAATTTACAATTAATTACAATTAATCAAATACATCATTTAAGCACCCAATCTAATTAAACAAATAATACAAATAACACCTAGAAAAAATACAAATAACACAGATAAGTAGCCAATTAATCAAGTAACACTTAATTCAATTAAACACATAAACAATTAGTCAAATAATCAATTAAACAATTAAAAAAATACAATAAAAATAAATAAATAAATACCGAGACTATCCTTTTAAAATTAGGGGTATTACAGAGAGTCACCCAGTTTGGAAGCCAAGCCTGTCCTTGAGGGGAGATTCTTGATTTCCTTTTAGGTCTGTATGAGCGGATTGAGGACTGAAAACCGATGAGTGAGGCAGCGAGAGGGTAAATGACTATTGATGTTGGAGAGGGAAAGAGAAGGATGGTGAGGGAGTGATAAAGTCACTAGGGTAATTTTAATATGTAGAAAGTATTTCACTAATAGATTTAACCTTGATTGAAGGCTGAGGTAATTGGAGTAATTTTGGATAAACCTCGAGGGAGGTTGACCATATTTTCAACCTAATTTTATTTACGGATAATTCGGACAAATTTTAAATGTGGTCGAGTAATTTACTTATACATATATATATATATATATATATATATATATATATATATATATATATATATATATTTAGGGAAAAAAAAAATTTACTCATATATATACAAAGAGAAATGATAAGTCTTTTGACCTTACTTATCGACTCTTCCTTCGAATATAACGTGGTTGGATCCCGTTAAAACTCTTAAAAAAATTCCCGTAAACATCTCTTTCTCTTCGACTCATTCTCAACTACGTTATATTCGGAAGAGTAGTCGACAATTGGGGTCGAAAGATCTATCACTTCTTATATACAAAAGGTTGTAGTTTAGTAATATTTTCTTATTTTTTAAAGGCAGATGGGTAGGTGTGTATTTTGTCAATGTGTTTAAAAAAAAATTTGTAAAAGATATAGGTGTGTATCTTGTCAATGTGTTTAAATTTTTTTTTGTAAAAGATACATTCTTGAGATGTTAAGGCCTTGACTCAGAAACATGTGGCGTGGGCTAAACAAGCCCATATTATACCATATCTAACTAATAGCAATTAGTTACAAAAGAGTAGGTTAATGAATTAGGCCCATTAGGCCCAAGCCACTACTAATACTTTTCCTTTACAGCATCCTACCTCTTGGATTTATAATTAGATTGTCCATATTTTACATGTAAAACTAGTGGCCCATGTTGTATCTCATGGAATAATAACCTTTCAATCTTTGTTTGTTGACTCATCTAATCTAATTAGAAAGAAGTCAATTTGGCCTATATCTGATATAATTTTAAAGTTATTAAATGTTCATCTCTTTTTAAAGTTATTAATTTGCCATTGCAAAATCTAACACTAACGTGTAATACTTTGACAAAATATGAATGTAACACTAGTCTTTCATAAATCATAATATTTAAAAAGAAAAAAGAATTAAATGTATAAATAAGCTTCCTTTTCATGAATTTTGGTCTGCCATTCATAAATCACTAATGCACATGGAGAAGTCTTTTCTTACATATTTGGTTTTTCAATACAAACCAAAAAGTGATCCTAGAATAAAAGAGGGTGTTTAATAATAAAACGTGAAAGAAAAGATGGATAATGCATCCTAAGTTACAGTGTCAAAATTTATTTATTTATTTATTTTTAGTCAAACAAGAAGAAAATTAAAAGAGATAAAATCATGCCAATGTATTGTGGTTTATTTTTTTCTTGTTACTCTTTCATAGCGGCCAACTGAATATAATAATATTCCATCATCTTCATCTTCACCATCATCTTCATATTAATCCAACTCGCTACCGGTCTTTGATCTCATCCTTTGTCTGTCTCAGCCATATACAAATACCCACAAGCAAGAATTTACACACACACACACACACATATATATTTATGATGTCAAGAGCATTTAGTAGTATAGTTGGGCTTATGGCTCTTGTAGTTGCTCTGTTTCCTGAAGTATATATTGCCCAAATAATAGCAAGAAAACAGTGCTCCCTTTCTTGCGGAGACATTGTTAACATCAGCTACCCTTTTCACTTGAAAGGCCATCCTCGTAGCTGTGGTGACGGTCACCACCAACTGGATTGTGAGAACAATCGCACAACTCTGGACTTCTATGGAGATAAGTACTATGTCCAAGAGATCTCTTATGAAAATCGAAGCATAAGAGTGGTACATTCCCAAATAGACAAGGATCAGTGCTCTTTTCATGGCAAATACTTTCCGGACGTGTTCCGTCCTTTCTACCGTTTATATAATCCTGATGATTATATATATGTAGTGAGCTGTCCAAGCCCAGTGAATTTTTCAAACTACATAGATTTCTCTTCTTGCGCCAACAGCAGCAGCACTTCTCCCTATTTCCGAACCCAAACAAACTCATCATCATATCTTGTACTTAATGTTTCAAATTCAGTGGAAATCCATCACTCCTGCACCGTCGAGGGATGGATATCTTCTCCCTATCCGTCTCCTTCCATTGAAGGGATCCCTTGGAACCTCACCATTTCTGATATTAATCAGGAGTTGCTTCAAGGGTTTCAGCTTGAGTTTTGGGATTCTGACCAATTAAAAAACAAGCAGTGCTTCGCTGCTACTTCTTGCGGAGACAATATTGTTAAAATCAGCTACCCTTTTTACTTGAAAGGCCATCCTCGTAGCTGCGGTGACGGTCTGGCTTGTGAGAACAATCGCACCACTCTGGACTTGTAGTCAAATACTATGTCCAAGAGATCTCTTACGAGCACTATACAATTACTTTAGTGGATGTCGATATAAACAACGATTACTGCTCCTTTCCTCGCAATTCCTTTCCATTCTCTCAATTTAGTTTTGGAGATGCATATCTCCCTCACACATATCATATATTTAGTGAGTTGTCCAAACCCGGTGAATTCTGCAAACTACAGAGATTTCTCTTCTTGTGTCAACAGCACCAGCATTTCTTCGTCCTCCAAAACAAACTCATCATCATATCTGGTTTCATCAACTGATTTCATGGAAATCCGTGACTCCTGTACCATCCTTGTTCAGTATCCGTTTCCATTCATCAATGATTCCTATTGGAACCTCACTCTTTCTGATATTCATCAGGAGTTGCTTCGAGGGTTTCAGCTAGAATTGGACTACAAAATTCCATTTTGGACGAGGTATCACACGCTGTATTCTTATTTGTTAGTAATCATGGCAGCCTAGTATATAGATATCTATCTTATGCTGACAATACTAATTTCGATTCCAATTCACTTTGATCCGTTCAATGCAGGTTATATAATATCATCCCCGAATCTGTAATAGGTGGGTTAAAATAAACAAATATTTTTAACCCCTTGCTCTCTCACGTGTTAGGTTGGTTGGTCTAAGGGAATAAGAAATTGACAAATGCACAATTAGGAAAAACTGATAATAAACTCAATATTAAAAAGCATATGGCTCCTTAATATATATATATATAGCTATTTTTATTTTACTGTATGATTTTTTAAAAAATTAATTTAATAAAATGTTCCTCCTAAAATTCACCATTTCTAAACCTGCCCCTTGGGCCAGTGTGACTCTTCCAAAAAAAATATATATATATATATACACACGCACTTTACTGTATGTAATTTTTTTAAAAATTTACAAAAATCTCCTTACTAAAATTTCTCTAACTCTAATTGTCATAGCAATGTTCATATTTTCTAAATTTTTTAGAAAATATGAAATTTCTAAATTTCTAAATTTTTTAACCTTTTTACTATATATTTTTTAAAATAATGACATAATTACTATATTTTCTATTTTGTAGTGGTGCTTTTTGCTAAGCAATTAATTTGGAATATATATATATCTATATATATATATATATATATATATATATATATATCATTCTCATTGCACCGGCTAAAATAAATTCATAGTTTGGTTCTTGTCTTATAATTGAACTACATGTACTAATATTTATACTCTCTCATTCTCTCAGGAGCGTACATCTTGTTAAAGGTTTCAATTGGATTGTTATGCTTGATTATATTGCTGGCAAATAGATTTCGCCGAAGACACTTGTCCATCGATGATACCATTGAAAAATTTCTCCAGAGTCAAAATAACTTCATGCCAATTAGGTACTCCTATTCAGATATAAAGAAGATGACCAGAAGTTTCAGGAATAAGTTAGGTCAAGGTGGCTATGGGTCGGTGTTCAAAGGCAAGCTCCGAAGTGGTGATCTTGTGGCAGTAAAAGTATTAAACATGTCGAAAGGTAAAGGACAAGATTTCATCAATGAAGTGGCCACAATCGGAAGGATTCATCATATTAATGTGGTGCGAATGATTGGATTTTGTGTAGAGGGATCCAAAAGAGCTCTCGTATATGACTTTATGCCTAACGGATCTCTTGATAAGTTCATTTTCTCAGGAGCAGAGAAGAATCTACCCCTCATCAGTTGGGAGAGAATGCAAGAAATTGCAATTGGAGTGACTCGAGGGATTGAATATTTGCACCGAGGCTGTGACATGCAGATTTTACATTTTGATATCAAGCCTCATAACATTCTTCTTGACGAAGACTTTGTCCCAAAAGTTTCAGACTTTGGCCCTGCAAAATTGTATCCCACAGATGATAGTATCGTCTCTCTCACTACAGCAAGGGGTACGCTTGGATATATTGCTCCGGAGTTGTTCTATAAGAACATTGGAGGTGTGTCATATAAGGCTGACGTGTATAGCTTTGGAATGCTATTGATGGAAATGGTGGGGAAACGGAAAAATGTAAATCCACATGCAGGACGCACAAGTCAAATATACTTTCCATATTGGCTTTATGACCATATCAATCAAGGTGAGGACTTGCAGTTGGGAGATGATGCCAATGAACAAGAAAAAAGTTATGCAAGGAAGATGATCATAGCTGCATTGTGGTGCATACAACTAAAGCCCGTGGATCGCCCCTCGATGAGTGAAGTCCTGCAAATGCTAGAAGGGGAGGAGGAGCTACTGCGAATGCCTCCCAAGCCTTTCCTTTATTCCAATGATATGTCAGTGGAGGATCAAGCCGACAACCACCCAACAGGGATACCAACTTCATCCCATGCTGATATGAGTATAACCATAGATGAGTTGTTAAGATAGTTTTGTTTCATATTTTTCGACTTAATCACTATGTAGAATTGGTAACCTTTTGGATTAAGCATGTCAATGTGTGTAGGTAAATTCTGCTCATCTTATGAATAAAAAACAGGAGAATACTTCTATTCTACTCACCCCTAATTTGGCTCGGTTATACATGGACATGCCTTCTTTTAAAAGTAACTTGGTAAAATTGGCGTACTCAATTTGAGAGCTTGACTATCATTATATACAAGCGAAAAATTACAAATATGAAAAAGAGAATAAAATCAAATCAAAATAAAGAGAATAAAATCAAATCAAATCAAATCAGAATAAAAATAAAATCCCTAAAAATTAGCCTATATTGAAGACCCAATAAATCTGCCATAATCGTTGAGTCAACTTATAGATAAGATTTCCAACACTCTCCCTCAAGCTAGAGCAAATATGTTGACTAAGCCGAGCTTGACGATAGAAGACTGGAGAAGAAAAAGCCCAACAGACTTTGTGAACACATCTGCAGTCTGTTCTAAAAAAGAAACAAAAATAGGATTAATGATACCCGATCGAACCTTCTCTCGAATAAAGTAAATGTCTACCTCAATATGTTTCGACCTTTCATGTAAAACAGAATCAGAAGCAAGCATAATGGCTGATTTATTGTCACAAAACAGCCTTGAAGAACCTTTCTGTACAAGACCCAACTCTCCCAAAATTGATTGAAGCCAAAAAAGCTCACAAGTACCTTGAGCCATAGCTCGGTATTCAGCTTTAGCAGAGGATCTAGAAACAACAGCCTGCTTCTTACTCTTCCATGATATGAGATGATTACCATAGAAAGTACAGAAGCAAGAGGTAGAACGTCTATCTGTCTTATATCTAGCATAGTTTGCATCAGTAAAGCATGAGAGTCCAGACTGATTTCCTGAGGCATAGAACAGACCAAGACCAGGGCACGACTTAAGGTACCTCAAAATATGGTAGACTGTATCCATATGAGCTGAGCGAAGGGCATGCATGAATTGACTAATCACACTGACAGCAAATGTCAAATCGGGCCTTGTGTTAGTCAAGTAGATAAGTGTGATACCCCTCGATTCTAAAGCCACAGGTGATCAAGTCCGAGCACAGAATACAAGGGATACCAAACAATTAATATTTAAACAAGCATTTGAATACAAAAAGAATAATAAAGAATTAAATAAATAATCAGTCGAAGGAAACTAAATAATAATTAAAAATCCCATACTAAAGTTCTCCAATCCTTTGATACCAGTAAATAATTAAAACCACAACTCAGGAATCCATATTGTGGACCCCTAATAATATCCTAACTGAAATAACTGAACCGAAATAAAACTAATAATTAAACCATGAAGAAGAGTCCTACGTAGAGTCGGAAGAGTGAATGACTGTCTCTGCTTGGCACGAACAATCTCTAAAACTGGAACTGACGAACACCTGAAAAATAATGGTGGGTCAGGCCCACAAACAAGTTCTAATCTACTACATCCCAAACAGAGACCCGATACACGTACACATCCTAATTAATTCAACAATAACTAAATACTCCATACATAGATATATACACACTAAAGGAACCTCACTAAACTATAGAGTTGTCTCAACCTGAATAGTAGGCAACATGCAAAACGCACATATAGTGGGCATGAGTACCTAGACCTAGCAGGGTACACAACTACACTATATCTAGCTACACATCCCTGGCAATATACGCACCCTAACCACTGATCCTGAGACTCAAGCTCATATCATGGCGTATAATTATATATATAAAATCCGTCATATCCAACCATCAAAGTAAATTATCCAAATATTATTTTAATAATATGTCATCCAACTATTCCGTTGACCTGACACGAATAAGTAGGACTTAACATTATGGTTAATCCGTTCCCTTATTAAGAATAGGTAGGACTTAACTCTTAAGTTAATCCGTCCCTAATATGCCCTCATTTCATAATGGTGCATTAATCCATATCATAACCAAATAAAAGTTTCAAATCCAAGAATAATGTAAATAATTTTTACATCTAATCAACCAAATTAGCATGATATAAATCTTATACACATCCTTTGCATTTACTCGAGCAAAATATCAATTCTAAAATATCATGCATTTAATTTACATCACAAGAAATTAACATGCATATCAACTAAATTGTACAACTCCAAGTTCTGATTAAATTAATTTAAATCTAAACAATTGATTAAAATAATTTAATTCAATAATATTTAATTAATTTATCCTTTCAAAATTAATTAAATTTCATACATAGCATGTAAACTTAAATCATGCATTCCAATTCTTAATAAATTTACTTACATTAATTAAATATTTAATATAGATTCATCAATCCAAAAATAACAAGTATTAATTTAATACTCCAACCTTAAACAAATTTACAATAAAATATTAAAATATTTAATGCCTAATTATTTTATTTATACCCAATTGATTTATTTCTAACCAAAGCAGTAGTATATATAGCCTCGTTCGGCGTGTATACCTTATGCAAGGCATGACATTCCAAATTTATAGTTTAATCACGTACACCCTTTATGAATACAGTAAGTGAAAACAATGTCCAGTTTCACATTTATTTCTACAAATTGATTCCCCACCTCATTCGGCGTGCATTCTTTATGGATAAAGCTAAAATTTTATTTCATATACTTTTAGCATATAAACTGATGCATGTAAGTAATCATTCGCCTTGTTCGCGCGTGCACCTTTTGTTTTGTAGATAATAAATCAACATGTATCCAAATTAATTCATGCTACAACTAATTCATGTGTAAGAAAAATAACAAAAATAACTAAGTAAATAAATTAAATTAAAACCCCAAAGCCATCAACAGTGCTAAATTCGGTGGAAGAGAAGAATTAAATTTCATTATTAAAATATGAATTTAAATTGTCAAATTAATCAATGAAATTTGATTCAATTAATTTATTTAAAGAACCTATAATTAATCTAGCATGCATAGAGTACGAATCAAAGGAGAAGAGAAGAATTAAAACTTGCCTTTAGGGATTTGATAAAAACCCTAGCCTCCTTCTTCCTTTTTCTCTTCCTTCTTTCTCTCTCTAAAATAAAGTACGTGATATATTTTCTAACCTCTTTCACAACTCTATAATTATATATTTGTAGGCAACTAAAATAACCCTAATCCTTTTCCCATTCCAAGACAAACTAAAATAAAATAAAAATAAAATTTAAATACTAAAAAGGTAACTTAAATATATATTACGTATAATCTATGTGTACTCCTTTTTATATATAATATATAAATATATATCAGATTATTATTAAAGGACTTTCCTTATATATATATTTATTTATTTATTTATTTATTAAATATACATATACATGAGTAATTATTCGTACCCATTAAACCCCTTATCCAAGTAGTCTATATCAGTCCAATTGATTGGTCAATTACTACTATCCATATCCAATTCCTTAAAAATATAAAAATAAAATAAAATAAATAAAAATAAAAATAGAACAATTAAATTCCTAAATAAATACACATCATCACATACAATTCAATTTAAACAAATAATTAAATTAACACATTTAAACAAATAATTAAATCAATTAAACAAGTAAACAATTAGCCAAGAAATCAACTAAATAATTAAATGCAATTAAAATAATTTTTAAAAAATACCGAGACAATCATTTTAAAATCAGGGGTATTACAATAAGACGACCTACTAAACGTTGATACACGGATGGATCTGAAAGTAATTCCCCGGACTCAATAGAGAGTTTAAGATTGGGCTCCATAGGAATGGAAGCGGGTCGACACCCAAGCATACCAGTATCTTGAAGAAGATCCAAAACAAATTTTATTTGAGATAAAGAAATTCCACGAATGGATCTAGCAACCTCAATTCCAAGAAAATATCGAAGAGGACCTAAGTCCTTCACATCAAAGGACTTTTGAAGATGAAGTTTCGCCTGAGCAATCCCTGAAGCATCGTCACCTGTGATAATGATATCATCTACATATACCAATAACATAATGCAACGACCATCAGAGCGACGTCGAATAAAACAAGTATGGTCTGAGTGGCAGCGCACAAAGCCCATGGATAAAACAACACTGCTGAAACGACTAAACCAAGCTCTAGGAGATTGCTTCAAACCATAAAGAGACTTCCATAACCTACAGACTTTCCCAGCATACTCCCCCTCAGCCCGAAATCCAGGGGGTGGATCCATATATATAGTCTCAAGTAAGTCTCCATTAAGAAATGCATTCTTGACATCTAACTAATGCAGAGGCCAAGAATGGGCAGCAGACAAGGAGACAAGCAATCGCACAGACGTCAACTCAGCCACAGGAGCAAAGGTAGCACTAAAGTCTTTGCCCGGAATCTGAGTAAAGCCTTTTGCCACCAACCGAGCCTTATACCGATCAATAGAACCATCGGCTAAGTACTTCACATTAAAGACCCACTTGCAGCCAACTGTTTTCCCCTAGACGGTAAAGCAACAAGTTCTCATGTATTTTTATGGTGTAAAGCATCCATTTCTGTTATCATGGCAGACACCCAATTGGGATCCTAGAGGGTTTCTGACACAGATCGAGGAATAGAAACGGTCCCAATCTTGCCCAGGAAGGATTTATATGCACTTGAAAGACCATCATAGGAGACATACTGGGAAATAGGATGGTTAGTGCTACTAGAAAAACCATACCAATTAGAAAGATGACGATCACGGGTAGGATAACGAGAGGTACGCTCAGGAATTGTAGGAGCAATAGGAGAAGGAGAGTTACCTGGACCTGGTTCTGAAGATGATTCTGGCAGGGGAGGTTGAGTGCGATGGCGACGAGAGTAGACCTGCAAAGGTGGAGGGGAACCCTACATGGATGGAGAAGGAGATTCTAGGACAGTGTGATTTTCAAAGAGAGGAACAAGACGGGCAATAGGAGAAATCTCCTTCTCCAGATCACAAGAGAAAGAATCCTGTACCACAGAATTAGTACTATAAAAAGGAACAGTTTCATGAAATGTCACATCAAGAGAATGATACATATGTTTGGTCACAGGATCATAACAACGATAGCCCTTTGACATAGTAGAATACCCTAAGAAAATACATCTAATAGATTTATCATCAAGTTTATGATGAGAAGGACTACGATTATGAACAAAACACAAGGCAGAAGGTGAAACAATGTATAATCAGGCTGGAGAATCTGAAGTGGTGCCTTACCACCCAAAACTCGACTGGGAGTACGATTAATCAGAAAAGCAGCTGTAAGAACAGCCATGTGCCAATAGAATTTAGGTACATGCATACCACTCAAAAGACATCGGACCACAGACATAAGATGACAGTTTTTGCATTCAGCCACGCCATTTTGCTCAGGAGTATAGGGGCAAGTGAGTTGATGTAAAATCCCATTTTTATTAAGTTCAGACC